CCCTCCGGGCGGCTTCCGTGAGGAGCCTGGAGGAGGGGTCCACTGAGTCGCAGGACACTAGAGCCCACCAGGGTGCAGGGCGAGGGAGGTCGGTGGGAGGACCAGAGCTGGGAGGGGCAGGTGGACGGCGTCTCTGCTCTCTGCGCACTGCCGTGGCCGGGGCGGGCGACGTCACAGGAGCAGTGTCCGCGCTGCTCTGCTGAGACACATCGGAGAACGCAGGGAGTCGTCTACACTGCTATTTTTAAATAGTCAGTTTGACACTGCTAGCCAGAGGGAGGCTTCTTTGCTGTGTTCCCTCTGTGTAGCCAGCACTGCTTCTGTGACGGCGGAGTCTGTCGCGGTTCCGTCCCTTCTGGGGTGTAGAAGGCTCTCCCCTCCGTTTCTCGGCCCTCCTCTGCCCTCTTTCCCCACCACTCCTGTCTCTCCCTTTCTACTTGGCTTTCCCTGGCACCTGTTATGGGGAAGTGGAGGTATTATTTGCATTGTAAAATCACTTACTTAGGGGCCAGCAGGTGGTGTGGATGCTAAGGTGGCCAGATCCCACATGACCAACTTTGCGGTTCAAGTCCTGGACCCAGCAGCTTGCAATATTTGGTATTTCTGTCAATAAGATTAATAAAAATAAATTCAGTTTCTGTGACTCTCATTGAGTTTATTTTTTTTAACTTGTTAGAAGAACATTTGAGAAAGTCACTTTTTCTTCAGAATGTCAGGTTTAAATATTCTCTGAATTCAAGACGAGAGGGCAGATTAACAGGAAGGCAGGTGAGGTCGGCAGGGCCGTGCTAGGCGCTTCCTCGTCGGGGACAGCGACGCCTGATCACCCGGACCCAGGTCTCACTAGGTGAAGCGTCCAGTCCTGCTGTGGGGGTCCGTGTGACAGGACCAGGCCGGGGAGAGGGCTCCTCACTTTTTAATCACCTTTTATCGCCTCACAGCCAGTAGGGTGGCACCACCAAGAAGACGGTACGTGAGTTAGGGCAAAGGTGCCGAGGACCAGGACCATGGCACAGCGGTCGGCAGGAGAACAGCCCGGCAGCTGCAGGGGAGAGCCCGGCATCTCTCAAGGAACTGAACACGGGGCCCGTGGTGGCCAGCAGTAACATGGGGCACCCCGCGAGGCTGCCCACACAAAGGCCGGAGGGTTCCCAGGGACCCGGCACCCGGCCTGGCCAAGGCGGCAGGTGAATGGCGGGTCAAGACCCTGATAGAGGTGCTCTCTGTCTCTCCTTGTTTCTCTTACAGAAGAAAGAAGTCGACTTCGAGAGGCTCCATGGGACTAGCAGATGGCGTAATGGTTACGCTGCTGGATTTCCACGTAGTCGACTATGGTTCGAGTCCTGAACCTAGTAACTTAAAACTCATGCTAGGTACATGTGCATGCATGCCCAAAATCCCAAGAGGAGGATGGAAGAGGAGGGTGTGTGGTGTGGTCATCCCTCAGGGGTGATTTCTTGCTTTCTAGCTCTCTCTCTCTGTCTCTCTGGAGAGCACATGTGCCGTATGGCAAAACAAGATAAAACAAAACAAAAAACACAAAGAAACAACCCAAAACTTCTCTAAATAAATAAAGTTTAAAGAAAAGGAACTGATTTTTAAAAAATAATTATTTTATTTAACTTTATTTATTTATTGTAATTTGACAGGAGAGAGACAGAGTGAGAGAGTGAGAGCGAGCGAAAGAAAGGGAGAAAGCCAGCCACCAGGCCAGGACTCGGACCGTGGTCAGTCATGTGGGAGTGTGGTGCCCTTAACCACCATGCCACCTACTGGCCCCTCCAAAAAGGAACTGTTAAAAAAAAACAAAATACAAAACCTCAGGATCTGTGAGTGGCGTAGCGGCTAAAGGCTCTGGACTCCCACATGGTTGACCATGGTTCGAGTCCCGAACCTGGCATCTGGCTTTCTTACTCTCCCTCTCTCTCTCTCACTCTGTCCTTCTCTGGTCAAACTAAAATCAAACAAACTCCACAGTGCCCACAGGTGTGCTCCCTCACACGCTCTCCGGCCCCTTGCTGTTTAAGAACCTCCCTGTAGAGCTTCCGCTGGCGCCCCGTGCGTGGCAGGCCTTTTGCCTTTCCAAATTAAGGAGGAGGAGGCCAAGGGCCGAACTCGGGTCTCACGGCATGGCCGGCTGTCTCCGGATCATGGAGGATACCTCGCATCTACTGGAGGACCGGCCCCTGAACCAAAGGAGGACAACGGCCGCTGTTTCCACGTGGTCACTGATGGCCCACAACTCCCCTTTCGAAGGAGGAGGCTTTCAACTGCAACCAGTCCTTCCAGAAGGACACCCAACGGCAGCCCCTAAAGTACACTTCGTGGCCGGATGTGGCAGGCAGTGCAGACAAGTCAGGAAGATCAGGGTTAGGTGTCTGGAAACCGCAGTGGTCTCAGCACGGCAGGATAGGGCTGGGGTGAGCACCCAGGCCAGGCTGTGAGGGTCCCCGGCCAGGTGCTCTGGCACAAGGCGTGGAGAGGAGCCGTGGGGCCCACGAAGCCCGAGTGCCCGCAGCGGGAGCGCGGGCGGCTGCATTGAACAGCGGAGAATGCAGCCGGCCCAGCGTGCTCCGCGCCCGCTCTGCTCTGCCGGAGTCCTCCCTCTGTCGTGTGCGTTTGACGGGCAGTCACAGAAGCACTGCGGGGTAAAGCCAGGCCTGCAGTCCTCTGCGGTGACGTCGGCACTCCACTCTGACCCTGGTCCCCCTTGTGGGCGTGACCGTCCACCCGGACCGTTGGAAATGTCCGGAGCGGCAGCACGCC